TTCGAAACTCGAGTGTAGCGGCAGTTTCTGTGGCTATACTGGAGTCGGGTAATTGCAGCTGGCAAAAGCCAATAAGCTTGAAATACGCGTATCCTGCAGTCCTAAGGTCTGCCGGTAATACATTGGATATATAAAGATATTCTCCAGTGAAGAAAACAGCCAAGACGTACAAGTTGCTCGGGCTGAGACGGTGCAGCCTCGACAGACTTCGGACCACGTGGGGTTTTCGTATCCCTGGGGTTTACAGACAACGGTTGTGCAGGCGGCGAAGTCTCCACCCGGGTCTTCTTGGCCTTGGAGACGGATTCCGCTGCAGCTGCTCTACTCCCCCTCGATGCGCCCCTCTTAAGAGTAGTGTTTGCCTGGGGAGTAGAACTGACGGCATCTTTCATCTCAGCATCTTCAACGATTCGCTGAAAGAAAAAATTAAGTCTCATTTAAAACATCAGTGAAGAAGAAAGCTGCGAGCAGACAGCAGCTGTCTGTCGTCTGCAGGTAGAGGTAAGCAGAAGCCCGAGATCGATGTTTCTGTACTTTTGCACGAATACACGGATCAAGTGATGGTGGAAAAACAACAAGAAAGTTGCCGGCTGGCAACTGTGTACCAGTCTATATTGGGCAATCGCGCAGGCAACAATACGACGTGCTCGGTCGTTAAAACTAACGACAAGCGACCAACAGCTGGAGCGCAGAATTGTTCGGCTGTAGAACGAGACTAGAGTCAAGATGTAAGGGTTCTGCACAGGACATGTACATGTCACTGATTTTCTTTTTTCTCATAATGTTAAGCAGGACTTGGTCCCGATTGTGACTCTAAGGATGCACAAACTCTACCGTCGCCGTCAACAGCTGTACAAAAAGCCAAAAGAGTCCAGTGACTTTAAACTAAGGATATTTTTCTGTTAACCGGAGGGGAGACATGGTGGTCAACTATGTTCAAGTTTGCAAAGTGAGCGGAGGTGACTTGTGCTGATACCCAAACCGGCACTCGATCGTGGACTACAGCACGCGCATAAACTTCCCGGACTCGCCAAAGAACGCGAGAAAGATAGAAATCTGGATAGCTTAACGAACACGGGTGCTGCCAGGATCACATCAAAAACAGTTCTGTCATTGTACTACTTCACAAGAACAATGAAAAGTCATGGTCAATGGTCACGTCCGAGTTTTGTGTATCTAACCATTTCAATTAATTTGTGTCTCAGCAGCAAATACTAGCGGTAGGTGCTCGGCGTATGACATTATCTGTTAAAACCAATGCACTGTGTGAGATAACTTAAACAAAATCATAAGTTAATAAAAGTAAGGGTTGTGTACACCACTACTCTGGTGGACCTTGCCGCAATTCGCGGTCTGTCACCAATCTGATTTCCGTCGTGGCATCAGCCGTTAACTTGCGGAAGGCGGTACAACATTAGAGGGCGAGTAACAAACTCGAAGATAAATTCGGGGAAGAAAAAACTGATGGGGCATTTGAAACGAGGTGTATCTGTGCTTGAACACTATGTCTGGCAATCATATATACTGCTGTAGAAACGTCCCTACTTCTCTACTCGAACCTACTAAAGTCTCTGCTTACCTGCTGTAACACCAGGGGCGTTTTTTGGTTTGGTTAGCTTGATAGAGGGACATGACTGGAGACAAGTAGGCTATCAATGACGGTCAATTAAAAAACGTAGGAGGTGGTCTAGTCAATGGGGACCGTGTGATACTGATACTATTGTCATGTAGTCTTACAAGTCTCCTCAAACTATCATGGTCAAACGAACTGCAGGTCCCTGTAAAAGTACTGACCTCTTAAACATCGGATTTCCCCTTCACAATCAAGGCAGTATTTGGAAAAAGGCTGACTTGGTAGACGACAATAGGAGGCCTTGGTCTATCTTTAGCTCTAGTGTCGCTAAGCACTAGAGATATGTTTGTTAGCCAAGGAAAGCTCACTGAGTTTTGCATAACTTTATAGATATAAAGTTGAGTTATTCTGAATAAACCATTTCGACGAAATATGACTTCCGTGTATGAGCAGATGAAGATCGTCACCTCGAACCGGTATTAGACGCCCCATGGGTCGAGTATCATGCGCGGACATCAACAATAGTCCACCCCAAAATTCTTTAAAATTGTCAGACTAATTAACATGGATTGAAGGACACTGAGGCTACTGAGAGTACACAAATAACAGCTTGTCATTAAAATGCAAGAGCGTCTAGTGTCATCATACGTAGTTTCGGTGAGGGGGGCAACAGCACCTCAGAAGCTATCACGAAAAGCTACACAACAGCTCATTCTTTCCACGTCCCTTTATCTTAAAATTGAAATCAAGTATGGCGGTGAAGTCTGACACATGCAAATCTCTCGAGAGCTGAATTTGCTCTCCTCCATAGGCACTTTTTAAGAATAATTCCGG